AAAGGTAGCTTTGCAGCCAAATCTTTTAGTAAAAGATTTTTTTGAGGTCGCCAAAAATTTATGAGCTGCAATGGGCAGGCTAAATAGGTTTTTTGCATTTCTTCCAAACACACAAGATACTTGAAGGAGGTGTTTTGTATAATTTTAAACGTGAAGCTGCTTCTAATTTTAATAATAATGCTGCTAAATAACTACAAGCTGATCCTAGTCCAGCCATACATGAACAATTAGTAGTCAGTACCCAACCAAGTTCTTTCTCAAGACAAGTCTATACATGATACATTTTTTTGTTGTTTTATCTTTGACTTGGCAAGACCTATTATTTCTATTTAAAAATTGTTATTATCATTCTTCTTTGGTAAAACTTAATTTTTTAATTAAATGTTTAAAATAACCTTTGATTTTATAAAACAGAATTTGCTCCTATTCAATATTTTATTATAAAAAAGTTCTTGAACATGACCACAAGTGAAGTAATCATATGCTTCCAAGGATTTATAGGCTCTGATTGATTCTTTCGTGTACAGGCTAGGTGTATCAATTAAATATTGAGTAACAACTTGCCATATAGTGTTTGGCAAATAATTGACATCGTTGCTCCATTCTTTTGGTTCAATTATAAACGGAGTCAAATAAACTTCCCCATTTTAAAGAGTTAGCTTCTTTGTATAATTTATTGCTTCTTCTAATTTTAGACTTATTAAAATATTCACTCATGATATTTGAAAAACTAAGTGTTACTGTTGACTTCCAAAAACAAAATAAATTTATTAAGAGTAGAAAAATTGCAATTTTTAAATTTGAAATGAGTTTAAAATTTGTAAAGAACATTTGAAAAATTTTTTAAACAAAAGTTTTTAATAATAATAAAAACTTTTATTACTAAAATTTATTTGAAAAATTTGTAACTAATTTTAATTATTATTCTTTCAATAATTTTTTAAAGGAAATGTTGACTTTAGGGTGCGAATATTGATTTTAAGGTATAAATAAAATACAAGAAACATATTAAAGCTCTTGCGTTTTTATTTTTTCTACCTAGGAGTATGGGTGTGCATGTTGTTCACAAAAAGATGTGGCATCACACGGAAACTCATCTATAAACTTAAATATATTATTTAAATCAAAATTATATATTTTTTTATCAGAACAAAATTATATATTTTTATGAAATTAGTTTTAAATTGAATCATATATTTTTTATCAGAATTAAGTTATGTTTTTATGATCTTTGCTTCAAGCTTAAAAAATCAATCATGGCAATTAAAAACAAAATAAAAATAAACTTTAAATTTTGTTAGATTTTTTTTAATTAGTTAATTGCGCTTATATCAAATATAATTGTCATTCAAACTTTTGTAACAAATATTTTTACATAAATGTCATTCAAAAGTTAATGTGACTTTTTTTTAAATTAGTTACTTCTCTTATCTTACCGCTTATAGAATAATTAAAAAGTTTAAAATTAGGGAAAAGTTGTTTAATCAAAATCACTTACTGTTTACTTAAAATCGCTTAAGCGTATGTAAATCGCTCAACGCATAATGCTTGAAAACAAGGCATATATATATATATATATATATATATATATATATATATATATATATATATATATATGAGTTCGATCCCCACCACGTCCCTGGTAGTACCGCGCTCAACTTGTTTCTCCGCGCAGCGGCCTTGTTTGTCAAGGTTTGTGTTTCGGAGTTATAGAGTTGAGAGAGGGTTATACCACTATTAATTACTACTTAATACCACTATTAAGTAACCTCCTCATCTGTAGTGGCTTTATCGGCCTTGAGGAGGTGAATAACAAAAAAAAAAAATATATATATATATATATATATATCTATATATATATATATATATATATATATATATATATATATTATATAAATAAAACTACATTTTTATATATATATATATATATATATATTACCTGATGATTGCATTTAACATGAAATTTTTAATTGTAAAAAAAATGTAGTTTTATTTATACAATATATATTTATATATATATTTGCAAACTTAGTTGAGCAAATAAGCTTAAAAGTATAAAGTCTATCAAAAAGAGGGTCAACTCACTGAAAAATTTAATCTTGGTAATAACTGTGGCAATAACAATAAAATTTGTATAAAGTATTGATTACTAATAGTCTTTTTATTCAACAATATCGTTGATTAAAAGTAATTATACTTTGTAATATTATTTTTTTAAAGCTTTTTACAAATTTTGTGCAAAAATTTTTTATTTTTAGTTCATTTAGTTCATTTATTTATGGTTTTATGAAAAGCTATGAATAGAGTTTTTGATGTAATCTATATAAAAAAATAAATATAGTTTATATTTTTTAAACTTATTATTTCATTTATACTAAAACTAAATATGAATCAAATTTGTTTTAAAAAATCTAAGAAATAATCTATTAATGTAATAATAATTAAATGAATAACTTACAATCTAGTCTATTTCAAATAACTCGTTATGAAACCATTAGTTATTATTATTTAGGTTTTAGCATTTTTTTGAGATAAAATAAAAAATGGCGCAGGCATATAATGTGGTACACCACCAAATATTAAAAATGTTCAAACTTAGAAAAAATATATAGATTTTTATCGATAAAAATTACATTACTTTAAAATGCTATTTTATGCTTTGTTTTACTTTGCCTCATTTACTTTGTCTCAAATTCATCGAAAAACATTTATTTTAATGGGTCAATTCAAAACACGATAACTTGAAATATATTAACACAAAATCCACGAAACTTTTACATATGTTCTAGACATGTAAGGTATCTAGACATGTAACGTAAGGTTTTGACATTTGGCTTTTAAGATTTTCAAAGTACATCAATTTACTATTTCAAAGTGCATTAATTTTTTTTTTTTTTACTTGATGTAAAAAAATTACATCAACTTTTTTACATCAAGTAATTAAAAAAAACTTCTTTAGACCTTAAAATAAAAAAAAAAAAATTTTATCAGAATTTAAAAATTTCGAAATGTCACTCCTTTGAAAATAGTATAATTAAAATTGCCTGAAAATTTGAAGTGATTTGTACTTCTGCATCTCCAGATATCATGTTTACAATCAAACAATGTTTTGCAAAATTTGAAAACGGAGAAAAACGCAAAAGTAGATTAAATATTCTTGTCATTCCTATATATTCCTATATATAATTTTTTTTAGATTAATTTATCGATGAATTAAAAAATGATGAATTAAATGTAAAAAAAATTAAATTAAATTATGATGAATTAAAAATAAGTTGGGAATAAGCTTTTTATTTTATTAATCTACAAAAAATTGCCTATCAAATGAGCTAAATATCAAATTTTCAGAAAGTATTTTGTGTTATACCATCTTAACAACTAGCAAATAAAATATCTATGAAAAGTAAACCATAAAACCATTTTTTTTTTTACTGATACTAATAAAACAAGATTTTAATTTTTGTTTACATGTTTGTTTGATCTGTGTTTTATTATAAAATGGCACACTTTGAATGTCATTCAGACGTCTTTTGAACGTTCCATGCTGACCAAAAAAAATATTTTAGTTCCAAAAAGATCTAGGCCATTAAGGACGCAAACTGAACGTACATTGTGCGTATTTTGTATGTGCTTGCTGACAAAATCTATTAGTCGAAGTTTTTCTTTCATATTTATGTTGCTAAATTTGTACCTTAAAGTAGTAATAGCACTCCATGCAATTGTTTTTTCACAATGATTAGCAAATATAGGGCTTGATATTTCCACAAAAAGAATACTCGTTGCTAACTTTAATTATTTTTCTTCAAAATGTCTAATAATGCAGATAATTTGAAGACATTACTTCTTGGCTTAGCCTGAATTTTTCAAGCAATGCCTCTTAACCTAAACAACACCTTTTTTTTAATGTTTTTTTTTATTTTGTATTTATTTTGTAAGTGTATGTATAAATTACTATTGATCTTTTTTTATTTTGTTTTTTGGAAAAATCACAAATAGTTATCATTTTTTAGAAGCATATTTAAAATCTGTATCTAGATTGCAAAACTCTTTAAACCTTTTTTTTTTCCCCATAAAATATATATTTTGTAACCCTTTTGTAACCCTAACCCCTGTCATCATTTTGTAACCCTAACCCCTGTCCGAATTCACAAAGTTCCATTTTATTTTACTTATCCAAAAGATTCCATTTTATTAATTTACTTTTTTTATATTTTATACCATAGAAAATTTCTTTATTTACAAATTAGACTTTTTTAAACTATTTAATTTTCATTTTGGTAGTAATATCAGTGTCTTACTCTTAAGAATATCGCTGTTCTTATAATTGTATGAAATTAGAAAATTCTCTTTATAAGTAAAACAATGAGTTTTTTTAAATTATAACTTTGTTACTCGAGGAAAAAGTTGCAAATATTTTAAGATGTACGTTAAGCTAAGTTGTTGGCGAATAATTTTGTTAAATTTTTAAAAAAAAGTTCAAAAAGATCAGTGTCAACTTCTTTGTAATACCATAAACTAAATTATACAAGGGAACCATTAAAAAAAATATTAAGAAAAAAAAAACATGCATTCAAAGTTACGGTTTTACTTTTGTTTTAAACTTTTTCTTTGTTGTTTGATTGGGTTTCATACTCCAAAGTTTGTAAATATTTTCATGTTTCAATTGCACAAAATCACGAGGTTAAACAATTTTTCTATAACAGCAAAATTTAATTTACATGCTTTATATATTTTTACAAGAAATTGTTTAAACTATATTGTTTTAATCTAATATTTAAATTGTCTGACTAAATTTATTGACTGCTTAAATAACTTTAAATAATAAATAATTTTAAAAAGTTTCTAAAATACTTTGATTTTTTTTTGATTTTTTTTATACTAAAACTGTTTGTTTTTTATATATGTGTTAAAATAATTTTTAATATTATTATACACCTAATATATGTTCAATTTTTTGTAAATATTGTAATATTTTATATTTAAAGATAGTTTGAATTTCTTTTTAAGATCCAAACAAGTTATGTGAATTAAAACGTTGCGACTTCAACCTTTGCCAAGTGGTTTCTGGTAAAGCAGTATGCTTTTGTCCAAGTGGATATTATTTACAACAAAATGGTTTATCGTGTACATATGGCCACAGTAAGTATTATTTATAATAGTATAACTTGAATAAGCAATATTATTTATTTTTGTTTAAATATATTAAAACAGCCCACTGAATCTTAGTATTTTAGTGCATATTGTAAAGCCACAACTCAACATTTAGGTAAAATGCAAGAAGCGAACCTAAGTAAAGTTCAACTTGAACTTTAAAGTCTGACTTCACTCAAAAATCTTAAGCAAATGCATAACTGATATTAGAAAATTTCAAGATTGTGCTTAAGAAAGTTAAGTTTGAAACTCAAAAAAGGTTTTGACTTGAGGGAATCAAAAAAATTATTCTGTAACCAGTAACAGCAGAGTATTTTTGAAGTAAAAATCCTTTGAATGAACAATTTATTTATATATTTTGGTATGATTTAAAAGTTTAAATTTTTGAATATTAGGTAACAAAAATATATTGGACCGAAATCCGTACTGGTTAGAAGAGAGTAATTTAGATTCAAGATGACCTTTTAAAAATTTTTTGAATAAAGATTCAAAGAATATGGTAATAATAGTAAAAAGACTGCTTGGGCCATAGTTAGCTGAGTCAGAGCAATCTGCATAGTTTATCAATGTTAGAACAACAGATGTTTTTTCCAACAGCAGGAAAACTAGATTCGGTTTAGTTCTTGTTAAATTGTTTAGAACTTAATAAATAGAGTTCTATAAACTTTTATTTAAGATTGTGACATGAATGGTGTCCAGACTACAAGCTATAGAAGGATTAATGGAAGTAGTAACTTTAGTAACAGTAGACTTGTTTGTTTGGAATCACAAAAATAGTGTGGTCCTTTGATTCAAGAGATAATGAAAAGTTCTTTGTTTTTATTAGGTTAAAAATATATAAAGTTATTATTAAGTTAATAATATAAAAAATTAATTACGGTTAATTAAACTTATCTATTCTTTAAATTCAAGTGGTAGAGAGCTAAAGATGTCTATCATTTTTAAAATTACGACTTCTAAAATGATGTGAAAACATCATTTAAGTAAGTAAATAAAAAGCAAAAAAACAAAATAATGATATTAAAACGAAATCTCCTTAGAAAAAGTTAAGAAAGTTATATAGGAAAAAAAAGTGCAACACAAATTTAAGGATTATATTATTAAAAAGTTTTAAATTTCGTGAAAGTTGTTTTTATTTCACAAAAGCTTTTAATTAAATAATTTTTTTTGTTTCTAATATATAGCAATTTTTAAAATAAATTTATGACTATGTTTATGGTATAATGGTTTTACTAAGTTTAACATTTATAAAAAGTATTGAGTCAGTTTGGTTTCTTTTTGTTTCTTCTTCATTATCATTGCACACGCTTCAGCAACGTTTTCCTTGTCATTATTCTGCATTTCATTGTATATCCGAAGGTATTCTGATTCTTTTATATCATATGGTTGAGCAGCATTTTAAACTTTAGATAAGTTACAAATACTTTAAACCGCGAAAATTTCTAGGTTGTCTAAAACAATTTTTTTTTCTATTGAATTATCTCCATCGGCGTAACAGTTTAAAGAAAGATATCCTTTTTGAGTTTAAAACAATACTGATTTTTTTTTTCTAACTTTCAGATTTGATGTTTGACTTCAAATTTCAAATCTGTTTCGTGAACTCCATCCTTAAGTATGATAAAAAAAGAGAATCCTAATTCTTTTTATTGCTATCTTCCTGTTAGATATTTTAGAAAACTTTTAATGATTTTTGTTTTTGCTGTATTTAATGAAATTAAATAAAATAGTCTCTCAGACTGGGATTTCTTGACACTGTTGACATTTTAAATCTTTGGTACTGTTAATATTGTTATATTTGTGTGTTTTTATAATTTTGATAATAATCAATCCCATAATTTTGCGGCATCTTTACAACTTAATCAATAATATTAATAATATTATATCAATTAATAGTTTAGATTGAAAGCAGATCTTATGTGGTAATTATTAGATATTTTTATCACTTATTGTTTTATTAGATTCTTATTTTGTGTTTATATTATTTGTGATGCAATTGTTGTTTATGTTTGTTTTGCAGGTTTATTAGAATTAAATATACTTTAATGAAAAATTTTAATTTTTCATAATGGCATATTACAAACCGTATTTCATTAAAATTTTAAAAAGATTAAATTAAGAAAAATAAGGTTTTGAGTAAATACATATAGTTTAAAATAATAGCTTGAAAGTTTGTGATCAGAATATTGTTAAATTATTTAGGATAAAAACTAAAAAGTTAACTTTATTTTATATTTTTAAAATTGACTATTCACTCGATTAGGTGTACATTCCTTTACTTTATTCTTTTATATTTAAGGTACAAAACTATCTGGTGCATTTATTGTTTTAATCGTTTTTGGAGTTATATTCTGCGTGTTTTTATTTGCTTTTTTTTGTGCAATATATCTCCGAGGTAAACGGTAAGGCTTTTGCAAATTTTATACTTAGTAATGACAGTTTTATTAATGGAAATGAATACTTTAGTTACAGGTAGACGGGCCCCAAAAACTCATGGACCCCAAAAGCCACACGCTCACATTAGTACCTGTAACTCATAGATAAAGCCATATCAAGCAGCAAAATAGATTTTTTTATTTGACAAGATAGTTTTTTGAAAAGAAACTGTTAAAAATAAGCAAATTTGCATAAATTTTTGAAAATTATACTAAAAACAATAAAAATTTATTTTTTTAATTTTATAACATTTTGACATTATAGTCCATAAATACTTGAAACTTTCATTTAAGTTTGCAAAGTAGTGTTTTTTGTAAAGATTTAAGTCATACTTCTACAAAAAAAAACAAAAGAAAATAAATGAAAAAGACAGTTGCTAATATATTTTATCTTAACCAAAGTAGTGTTCTGTGTGGTCTTTGGGGTCCCTTACTAAAAAATATATATACATCAATCAAAAACTCAATATTAAAATGGAGTTTTGCTTTTTCTATTAACATTTATTTTTTTATTGACAATCAAGTAAAATTACTTTTTTAGTAGTTATTTGTATAAAAAAAATTGAAATGTTGAAAAATTGAAATGTTGCTCTAATAGTGTTTAAGACAATTTAAAAGTGTTTTTGTTCATCTTTGAAACTATTGACTCTTTAATAAGTTGATCAACTAATTGACTAAGAATAATGGAATTATCTCCTTATCACTGTAAGGTCACTTTCTTGGTGTATCCTTCTAACTTCTAGTATCTTCATCACTTTCATGCTCAATAATCTTACGTTTGAGTGAGTTGTTGGTTACTGCAGCAGCTAAAAACATTATTGGTTTTTTCCATCCACTTTATAAGATAACTTTCCACAGACAGATTTTTGTACTTTGTGGCAAGAAGAGCATTGCTGTAACTTTATGGCATGGCACACACCTTCTCCACAGTTGCATTCATTTTTACGCCGTAAAAATGCTTCTTTTTGTTTTTCTTTGTTCCATCTTTTTTCTACCTTATCTTTTATTTCTTGATTTTTATTATCTTGAATTACCTTCACTAAGTCCAACACATTTTTTCTTTTCATTGATCCGTGAACCTGCGTAACCCTTGTAGTAAGTTTGGAAACTTTCGGCTTAACTTTCTGTACTGTCAGTAAGCCAGGAATTTTTTCAAGCTGAATGCTTTTTTCGCTCAGCCCTTGAATAAGCTCTTGAGAACGCTCAAATTTTTCTTTCCAATACTGAGCAAAATTTTTTCTTTTATCAGGAGATTTAATAGTATATCTTTCAGAAGTGGTTGTACTGGATGTAACACTTTTTGGAAAATCAATACATAAAGCAGCTTGTGCAAACTTGTCCTGTTGCATGTCATTGACGTTTAATGATGTGGAAGTTACTCCTACACGTCTTGCAGCTTTGATTATAGATTGTCTTGGGGCCCACTTATTCCAAATACATCCTAATATTATCATAAAAGCTTCTTTATTTAGTTAATTGAAATCAGTAAAAATGTTTTCTTTCATACCACGATACTCATGATGAAGGTTTTTGTTGAGTTGGTCTAAAAGCTGTGTCACACCAGTGGTATCTGGTGGAGTTAAGAACATACGTATGTTTTTTGATTGTAAAAACTTTAAGACATCAAAATTAAAACGTGAACAATGCCCATCAGAAAGCAAACCTACTGGTCGTGCCACTATTTTTTCAGTAAGATATTTATCAAACTCTTTGTACATATCTAATAACGAATTGTGATCAGATACACCATGGTTGCAAGTTGTTATCAGAAGATGCGGAATATTTACCACAGCTTCCTTTGGAGCCATTTGATTAGTTATTCCAACGGTACCAAAAAGTACTTGACAGACACAAAGGTCTCCTACAATTACAAAGAAAGATAATACATATCATCTATTCAATCCATATTATAAATATTTATCAAAAATGTGATAAGGCAATAAATACCTGAAAATGATACTAGAGGATGTATGGTGACGCATTCATGGTTCTCTCTGATCATTTTACAGCACGTTTCCCTTTTTGCAGCAAAAACAAGGCCAGCAGGAATACCATCAACACCAAAATTGATGAACTGTGGTGTTTCATTGTGATTAAATATTCTGCATGTATCAATATTTCCAGACCAAACTCCTGTCCCTTTTTGTACTGCTTCAGTCATAATGTCAGTCTCAATCAATTCTTCTGCAAGAGCGTCTAAAGGCAACCATGAAAATCAATTAGTAACTCAGTTTTGGTAGAACTATTTTTCATGAATGTACAGTAGCAATACATAAACTAATAAAAAGGTGTAGCTCTGAGTTAAATTTTAAATTAAGCTAGTGTATACTATGAAATATAATAAAAAACTCAATGTTTACTCATACCAAGGTGGAAACATGCCATTTCCCTCGTGCAATTGAGAGCTCTATTTATTGACACATTTCCTTGTCGCTTGAGTGTTAAGCTTGGATTCTTAGCTTTAAAGCGCATCCAAAACGATTAACCCACACTGTGTTTAAAACAAAAATAAAAAATTAACTAAAAAAGCTTCTCTTACAAAGCTTCAACTCCTGGAACTACAAGCAATCTCTTTATATCTTAACATGTTGACTATTACTACCTTTTAAAAATATATATAAGAAACATAAATACTTGTTTTTTGTCAAAGCGTTTTTTGCATTTGCAGTTAATGCTATGAATTTTCTGCCATCTTTCAATCTTTTATTTGTGTATTGTCTAACTTTCAGGACATCAAGGACAAGTTTTGTTATTTCTGCTTTGTTTATGCCTTGCATTGCTCGATTTTTACTCTTAATGTATGAAACAATTGACATCTCTTCTTCCTCCAAGAGAATTGCACAGTACTGTCTTTCAAGACCATTGACTATTTTCCCATCAAGTCTACGGTTTATTGTTTCACGATCTTTAATAAGTGGATATTGTCTTGTTTTAATTGCAGCATGTCCTCTTACATTGTTTTCTTTATACCATTGTACAACAGCTTCAAGTTATTTGTTTTTTTCTAATATAGCTTTTCTTTTAATTAGTGCTTCAGCATTAAAACTTGAATTTAGTGACTTCATTTGCAAGCGAGTTTTGAATTTTTTGTTGCTGTTACTCATGTTTATTTATTTGCTTACAAATAAAATAATATCGCAAATTCACATACTGCAAACTGAACTAAAACTATCCTCTAAGCAGGAGCGTAAAATAAAATCTCTATATAAATTCATTATCATCAAAAAGATAGTTACAACTACTATAAATCTACTTTAAATCATGAATTTTTGTAATATCACTTACATTTTTGTTAAAAATAATATAACTAATGTGGTTTTTGGGGTCCCAAGCATGTGGTTTTTGTAGCGCTTTAGGTACTTCCCTAAAATATAAGTTTGCAATCAAACTACCATATGAAGGGGATTTTAATATTAACAAATTATTCCAAAAAATTGGAAAGTTGTAACTAATTTCATAAAAGTTGTAAACAATTTAAGCCATGCGGTTTTTGAGGTCCCCTACTAAAATATAGCGAAACTTTACTGAAAAAAAAAAAGCAAACAAAAAATACCAAAATACTTCTAAACCCCTGGGAAGAACTTTTACCATATAAAAGCATATAAAAAAGCAAAATAAAGTTAAATTATTTGTTTTGTACAAAAGATACAGCAAAAGAAAAAATCATGTGGTTTTTGGGGCCCGTCTACTTGTATTGTAATGACTGAAAAAAATTTTTGATCGAAAATTATTGTTTTTAAAATCTTTTTTTTTTTAAATCATAAGGACTTTGCATATTTATTTGCAGTAAATTCGATCCTGTTACTGTGCAATTTTACGCAACAACTCAAAGTGCGGTTGTACAAGGGGCGGCTCAAAATCACTTAAATAGTGTCGATTTTCAGATAGGAGTAAACAATACGATTGATTCAAACATTCTTTATCCTTCAAATGAGATTGAAATTGACAACGTAGCTCATTTTAACATGGCTCCTCCTCCGTATGAACTATTAGAACAATCACTTTCTCTTATTCTTAGTACTGAGTCTCCACCGGAATACTCAAACTAATTTATTATGAAAGAAAAGCTCCATTGATATGATCTTCCTTCAAAACCTTCGTTCAACCAATGCTAAATCTTCAAAATGTTTTACCGAAACATTTACTTAAATAAAGATTGTTCTTTATAATTTTTTATAATAACTGTTTAAAAAACAAGTATTTAATAATATCTTAAGGGAGCATCCATAAAGTACGTACGCAGTAAAACCACTGATTTAGGACCCCCCTCCCTTCCCCTTGTACGCACCTGTATGCTTTTGAACGCTCCATCCACCCCCTTCTGCGTACGTACACATTATTTGAAATCAACCCCCTACTCCCCGATTCGTAAAGTTTTCAAAAGTTCCCTGTTTCATATCATCGTAATAATTTTTTAAATTCATGAAACTCAATCCTTTTGTTAAAAAAAAAAAGAGATCAAGATTTTTGGAGAAATACAGAAAAAGAGATCAAACCGCGAACCCCCACCCACCTTCCTCCCTTGTACGAATTCGAACGTTTTTAGGTAAACCCTGTCTCTCATACCTCCGTACGTACTTTATGGAAGACCCCTAATATTAAAATATAGTTTTATAACCTCAAAAGTATTTTTGAGGTTGGATCTTTATCGAGCGGTTGTTTCAATAAAATAAGGATTGATAAGATACAATTTCAAAAATATTTTGCCGATTATCTCAATAGACTTATTTGTTATAAATACGTTTTGCTGTTATATTCGTCCAACGCAATCGCATTTTGATTTTAGATAACAAATAAGTTATTAAATTCTTTTGCAATTGGATTCGTACGCTGGAAAAAGTATGAGAATTGTAAAAAAAAAGATTTTTTCATAATAAAAAAGTTTAATTCTTTTCTATTATATGTTTTTTACAAAAATGTATTTTACACTATTTAATAATTGAGGCTGACATTTTGAAAAGGACACAAGTCCATTTATTAAAAATCGTAGACATTTTTTTGTTTCAAAACCAACAAAAAAATGTCTACAATGCTAAAGAAATTAAACATTGCAGTTGATAAATAAAGAACGTATATAACTTATGCAAGTTTTATTTATTATTTAAAAAAAAAAAAAATTGTAAAGAAATTTCTAATTTAAATTTATAAACTGTTTAAAGTTTTGGACTTGTGTCCTTTTCGAAATAGCAGGTTTAAATGTATAAACTTTTAAGAAAGTTGTAGTTGTAATAAATAAACTTAAAACTAGCGCGATCAACAAATTTAATGTAAACTAGAATTTTTTATTTTTGTACGTATTTTTATTTCAATCGAATATCAATGAAAAGTTCTTCATTAAAAGTTTTTGAAAGCAGGTTTCTACGCTTTAATTTTGTTGTATTTAATTTGGGAAAATATAGTGGCAAATACCTATGTTGTTGCAAGGGAAAACTTTCACAATCTTTTAAATTTAGAAGCGAAAATTATAAAAAGTCTGGAAAAAAACTCAGTATAAAATTTTACTGATGCGCATGAAGCTGCGATTAGACTTGTCTGTTCAAGATCTAGCATTTAGATTTTCAAATTTTCAATGTTCAAGTATATTAACTACCTAGATTAATTATCTTGGAAACAATTTAAAATCTTTTCTTCTTTGGCCAACTCAAAAGACAAATTTTTTAAAAAGCAATGCATTTTTCTGGTTAGTAAAACTATGTGGAATGTGTAATAGACTTCACTGAACAGAAAGTCTAGAAACCATCCGATGCGAAGACACAATTTTAAACGTTTAGTACTTAAAAAAAGTTGAAACACAAAAAAACTAGTTCCCTCAGCTTTTTCTGCGAAGCTTACGTTGGCCAAGCTTCAGATAGACTTAAAACAGAGCTCTGCAATGTTATTAGTATGTTTTCTAAATGATCTGTTTGCTTTGCTGATAAAGGTTTCAATATCCAAAATTTGCTTTGCTGATAAAGGTTTCAATATCCAAGATTTGCTTTGCTGATAAAGGTTTCAATATCCAAGATTTGCTTTTAAAAGAAAAGTTGTATTGGTTCCTCCACCTTTAAAAAAAAACATTTTGTACGAGCTAGTCTACTCAGCATTTTGTACAAGCTAGTCTTCTCATTCTTCAAATATATTACTTGATCACGGGCCCCCGCGTAGCAATCAATTCGACGACTTAAAAAATTTAAGATATGTAAAAATGAGTTACCACTAACAATGCTAGATCTCGTTAATCACATCCCAGATAGCAAGCTCATTGTAAGTTTTAACATTGGCTAATTGAGCAACCGCGGCGCAGTGGTAGCGCACTTGCCTTCGAAACAAAGGATCCGTGGTTCAAACCCCACGTCTAGGCAAGTTTTGCGATACGGTTTAGGAAGGAGGCGTAAACTTCTAATAGAATGCTCCAAAATAAAATTTTTTGGGGCACCAAAATAAAAATTAAAAAAAAATTTTTTATCCGTTGGGCCAACAATTAGCCAATCTTTTTTTTCGGCGTAATATTTAAATTCTTCAAACCGGTTTTTTGCGATAATCGTTCAAGGTTGAGCCAACATTTAGCAAACGTATTATTCGACCTAATAATTTGCTATATAAATTTGTTCTTACAAATCTGTTCTTAATGCCGTAGCTCCGTTGAGTCAATATTCGGCCGATGTTGATGTTGGTGTATTATTTTTAGTTTACTTTTAAAACATTTTTAAAAATGGTTTCGTTTTACAAAATTTAGAAAGACTTTGATATTATTTTTCTGTTTATTTAAATTATAAAGTAAACAAAATAAGCTAAATTTTTCTTAGAAAAAGGTTCTTAGAAGGTCCTCATAAGAACTCGAATTCAAGAGTTTCTTGAGAATTGATATTTTATTTTTTTTAGATAATGAAATATTATTTAACAATTATGTTAGGGTTCATTTTTGAAAATTTTTGAGTAAAACGATTTTTTTCGGATTTAGTAAAAACTTTCGAAAACTATCGAATAGCTAAATTTCGAAAACTTAAATTTAATTTTGAAAAGTCATACTATATTCGAAAGAAAGATAGTAATTTCGATATACTAAATTAATTTCGAAAAGTTAAATAAATTTCGAAAAAAAATTTTTTCGATAAAATGAATTTTTTTTTAAATGAAAATATAGTTTCGAAAAGTGAATGTCTATTTGCGCATTCAGTGAACGCGGACGTTTACAAAAACTTTTAATAGCACGGACGCCTACAAAGTGAAAAGTACATCATGCAACGTTCGACTGTTGGGGAGTACATGCAGGGAATTGTCTCTAATCCAACTTTTAGGATTCTGTCTTTTTTTTTACCCTCAAAATTTATGTTAATCATGAAAAATAGTTTTTAACCTACAGCAGCTAATACACTTAGTTAAAATAACTATGGGCTCAGGTTAAACTAGGGATGGAACTTTTACTTCCTTTAAGTGAAAAAGTAAGTTTTAAGTGTAAAATATGAAATACCTTTACAATTAAAATTAAATTATTAAAAAATTTAATAATAAAAATAATTACATTAATCTAAAATTTAATTATATAAAGTTTTTTTTAAAAGTGCGTATTAAAAGTAATTTATTTTTACAAATAAAAGTAATTATCATAAGTAACATAACAAAGATACTTATAATTGAAAATTATTTGCCAAAGTAAGTAATAAAAAAGTTATTTAGATGTTACTTAAATAATTTTGAATTTTTAAATTAAATCCATCTTATTACCGTTGTTTGTTTTATTATGATTTTGTTACTGCTGATGCAGTTCTGCAATTGTTAAATGATTTAGTTTTAAAAATATATTTTATCACCAGAAAAGCTTTATCCCAGCAAACATGACAACGTTGAATCAACGTTGAAAACCGGTCGCAAAAGATGTTGCGGAAACGTTGACAAAGTAATCGATTTTGCAAAGATATGTAACGTTGTTTAATAGACGTTGATTAAACGTTATTGCGTAACGTTGAAAAAACGTTACTAAATGACGTTACAAAAGCGTCGCAACTAAACGTTGAAAAAGCGTTAAATAAAAAGCGTTAAATAAACGTCGCAACTTAGCGTTGAAAAAACGTTACCTAAAAAGCGTTGCATAAACGCTGTTAAAGCAGTCTATTTTGCAAGGATTTGTAACGTTGTTAGTAAAACGTCGATTTAACGTGACTCAAAGACGTCGAGTAAAGGTTGAAATATAACGTTGAATCAACGCTTAAATGCGCTGTCTAAAATATCGCAAAATATTATTAAACGTAATTAAACGTGGCTATAATATATATTGAATTGGCAAATAAAACTAATTTGTAAGTTGAACTCTGCCCTCGCAATATTTCCAAAATCAATTTTTAATACAAACAGTAATACACAATGATAAATAAAAAAAAGCTTAACATATAAAATTTATAGATATATATATAAAAATATAAATGTTTTCTTTAAAATTTATGTGTGTGAGTGTTTGCATATATATTTATGCAATATATAAAAATCCAATTAACAGGATATCGTATCGATAAGCCAGGATATCATTGAGATACAGAATCTAAATCAAAAAACAAAACTTGTTACATTAGTAGTCTGAAAGCAAATGTAAAAAAAAGATGTTATTAAATTAGGATAATTATAATTAAATTTAAAAAGTAAATATATATGTATATATATATATATATATATATATATATATATATATATATATATATATATATATATATATATATATATATATATATATATATACATATATATATATATATATACATATATATATATATATCTTATTTATATATATAATTTATAACTATAGCTCAGGTATCACTCCATTGACTAGTTTTTAACTATATGTGTGACACCTGACTTTATTTATGTGAGTTTATAAATATTATTGTAAATTTTCATATCTTATGGTTGAATAAATGGATTATTATTATTATATATAAAATATATAGATAAATAAATTACATATATATATATATATATAAATTATATATATATACAAATTATATATATATACAAATTATATATATATATATATATATATATATATATTATATATATATATATATATATATATATATATATATATATTTATTTATTAAACGGTAAACTTCTAGTTATTCGAAATGGCACTTATTAAAATTTTCTGCTTATTCGAAGCAATTTTTATTTCCTGTGAATTTTCTTTAACAAACTCATGCAAATGCTGTTATGCAAAAATACAGTTATTCGAACCTGCAGTTGTTCAAAATTTGGGCTATTCGAAACAATTTTTGCTCCCCTTAAAGATAAAAAAACACATTTAAGGAACAAAAAAAAAATAAAAAACGGACTATATTTTCAATTAATTGTAAAATATTTATTATTTTACATAGATAAAACTAAAGTAGCACCAAATTCCAAGGGTCTTTTTCTTTTTTACTTTCTACTTTTATTAAAATTTGAAAGAAACTTAAAGTAGGTCATTTTAAAGAGCATATTCAGTTATTCAAGTTTCGGGTTATTCGAAACAAATTCTTATACCCCTTGGAGGTTCGAATAACCGGGAGTTTACTGTGTGTATATATATATATATATATATATATATATATATATATATATATATATATATATATTATATATATATATATATATATATATATATATATATATACATAAATATATAAATACGTATATATATATATATATTTATATACAAAAATAATTTTGTATATGTTTATATATATATATATATAAATATATATATATATTTATATATAAACATATGTATATATATATATATATATATATATATATATATATATATATATATATATATATATATATGTATATATATATATATTGATATACAAAAATAATTTTGTATATATATATATATATATACAAAATTATATAATTTTGTAAATATATATATATATATATATATATATATATATATATATATATATATATATATATATATATATATATATATATATACAATATTATTTACGTCATAATCTATATAACTGCAAAAGTTTTAAGTTTTTTTTTAAATTTGATTCCAGAGAAAAAAAAACAACATTTATAACTCTTTTTAACTCAATGCAAAAGTAACTCTATTAAATGAACTTTGATAACTTAGAGTTTTTCTGTCTAAAATAAATGTGACAAAAGTAAGAAATATCTACATTTTTATTATGAAATATAATGCTTTGTCAATAACTATTTACTTAAAAGTATTAACATCAAAAATATTTTGTTAAAGTTATTAACAATAAGCATTTTAAACTATATTTTTTGGAATTTATTTTTAGAAAAAGTTAAAATAATAATAATGGTAAAATAAAAAAGGGCCTAACGTACAAGCAATGTGATGAAAAATATCAAAAATCAGTAAGTGGTGTTAGGAAGATGTGTATAAAGTATGAAACAACTGGTTCTTCTAAAAATCAGAAAAGACTTGGTAGCCCCATTAAGACTTCAACAATAACCAATATCCTAATTGTACTGATAAAAAAAAAAAATTAAACAATAACCTAAAGGCAGATTGTTGAAAATCTTAAATTAAATGATTCCTATCGAACTGTACAAAGACGACTTAATTTAAGTGGTTTAATAAATTAGGTTGTTTAAATAAACCTTCTCCAGAAAAGTAAACCCCTCATTAGTCGTATAAGCAAAGAAAAACTTTTAGCATTTGCAAAACTGCATATTGACAAGTTTGAGGCATTTTGGAGCTTAGTGTTATGGACTGATAAGAATAAATGTCAAATACTTGGCTTAAAAAACGACAAAGAGTTTGGCGCAGACCTTGTGATGCACTCTTAGATAGAAATCTTACAAAAACAGTCTCGCATGGTGGTTCGCCTATGGTTCGGGGATGTTTTGATTCAAATAGTGTGGGACAACTGGTAAATGTTGAATGTATAATGACAGGGAAGCTGCATGTGGTTGGCTTTCAAAAAATTTATGTCAATATGTTTAAGAATTGATCGCAAATTTTTTTTTCACCATGACAACGACCCTAAACACATATGCAAAGCGACACAACAGTTCCTAAAAAAAAAGTAAAGCTAACATCCTCAAATGGCCGCCACAAAGTCCAGACCTTAACCTTGTTGAAAATATATATGGGCAATTTTGAAATCTAAAATAATTGTAAAATAGCTCATTTCATTTAATAGAGTTACTTTTACAATGATTTAAAAAAAATTATAAATAATTTTTTTCTTGATTACAATCAAATTTTAAAAAAACATACAGTTTGAAGTTATGTAGATTCCAACATAAATAATTTTGCTTTTATTGTTAGAGTTCTGAATTTATCAACAATGTTAATGCCAAACATGTATATATATATATATATAATATATAT